AACCCTGAGACTTTCCAGTCCATCTGAAGCAGGTATTGTTCCTGGCCCTGTGGGAGTATCTGGCACAGCTCCCTTTAATCTTTTTTTGGTGGTTCTTCCTTCAAGCCTCTGATTGTTTCCTCGTATGCTCTTGTCAATCAGCTGATTACTCTAGGGGGATCCTCTGCAGGTCTTTAAATTCTCTCCCTGGATGGTTCCCTACTTTCTGGAATCTGTTCTGTGAATTCTAGCTACCTTGTTCTCTGCAGTATCAGCTGTCTTCATTCAGTGATTGTGCCTGGTTTCTCTCTTTCTGCTCCTAAGCCCCTAGTCCTTTGTCGTGGCAATAGCTGGGACAGTAGCAATTTTAGGGCTTGCCTTAATAGTTTCCCATCTTTTAGGGTACACTGACCTTCACTACTTCATGCCAATGTTTCGAGAACCTCTGTTTCTTATATTTTGTTTTGTGGTTGTTGCAGACGGAAGGGTAAATCTTAACTATCTTGGCTGCAAGTGGAAGCTTTTGGAGTCACATCTTAGGTGGAAACTCTTTTCTTTTTGTCTTGTTCTTAATTATGAGAATTGCTTGGGTATGGTTGTATGTTGAGGAAGAGATTAAAGGTACTAAAAAATATGAGAAACAGAAGGCAATAGTGATGGGCCAAGTTCCCGGAGGAGGTGGAAAGAATAAGGGCAGAGATTGGCTTTGAAAAACAAGGAATGTGTCTCTCTGCCTAAAATGACATGAAAATAATGTGGGATGTGGGGCGCCTGGGTGGCGCAGTCAGTTGGGCGTTGACTCTTGGTTCTGTCTTGGGTGGTGATCTTGGGGTTGTGGGATCAAGCCCTGCGTTGGGCTCCATGCTCAGTATAGAGTTGGCTTGGGACTCTCTCACCCTCTCCCTCTGCCCCACCACCCCATGCACATGTGCTCTCTCTCTCTCAAATAAATTAATGAATCTTTAAAAAAATCATAATGTGGGATGCTACTGTAGATCAGTAGAAGCTTGTAATGGGAAGTTTAAAAGGTTAGTTCCTGATGGTCTCTTTTCTCAGTAGCGTGTAAGTTCAGGTTATTAACTTCAGATAGGTTAGTAGGCATGAGGTATCCAGATTAACAAAAGTGAGAAATGTGAGAAGTAATCAATTTAGAGAATATAAGAAAGGTCTTCTAGGTGTAAGGACAATTATTTCACAGGAGTGTTAAGAGCCCCGATGGGGTTGACTGACTAGCATTTATACCCATTAACAACAGTGAAGAAATCTAGCATATGGTTGATACATGGTGGTTTTCTGTTAGAAACAGTTGAATCTTGATAAGATTGCTGTTTACCTCGTTGGTAATAAGAACTTGCAAGAATGAGTCATTCATGGGTTCATTAGGTTGTGATGAGGTAGAGAGGCAATTTAGGAACGTGGTGCTTAGGGGAGACTCAGATTTAGATGAAGCTTCTATAGTTGGAGACACATGATATATAAGAGACAAAATGAAGGCATACTTATAATTTTTTTCTTTTGGGGTTAAGTGAAGAGGGAAGGATTTGCAAAGATTCAGTAATGCTATGTTGCACAGGTTCTGAAGGTGCCATTGAAATACAGTGCAATGTGAAAGAATCTATGTATTTCTTATATTCTTCTATTTAGCCTTATCTATGCAAAAGACAAAAATATATAAATGCATGCATACATACATATATAAACATAAACCGTTCTTCAAAATTTAGGCCACCTGCAAGTATTAGTAGATTTCTTTTCAATATATCCCATAGCCATCCCATTCTATAGATCACAGCAAATATTGGGCATTTTAAAATCAGTACCAAGTCTCTGATTTCTCAAGGCACTCACTGGCATGTGATGTAAAGTTTAATGGGGGGAGGAGATGAAGTAGGTTAGCTTGACCCCCCACAACCCTTATTTTTTATTCTGCATACTAAATTTCAATATCTCCTCACATTTTACAATAAAGGTATTGAGGTTTAGAGAGGTGAAGTCCCTCGCTGAGAATAACAGAGATAGTTGAAGGGGAACTCAGAATTCCAGAAAAAGAGCCTAACACACTTGTTATCATATCATGTCCCTGATGGTTAATTTTGTGTGTCAGCTTGACTATGCCACAGTACCCAGATACTGGGTCAGACATTATGCTAGATGTTTTTGTGAAGGTGGTTTCTTTGTTTGTTTGTTTGTTTTAGATGAGCTTAACATTTAAATTGGTAGACTTTGATTAAAACAGATTATCCTCTGTAATGTGAGTAGGCCTTATCCAAACAGTTGATTTTAAAACAATCAGGAAGAGTGACCTCCTCAGAGGAAGGAGTAAGTTCTACTAAGAGACTGCCTTCAGACTTGAATTCCACTTCTTGCCTCCATCTCTAGCCTGCTGGCCTACTTTGCATATATTGCTCTTGGACAAAGAATGCTAATCTGAGAAAATTTAGTAAGTAGAATAATACACAGTGCTAAGCGCTCTGTGTTTAAATTGGGAATTTTTAAATTGTGAATATCATAAAAAAATGAATCTCATAGTTGTTGAAATTTAGTCCTTATTTTAGATGTCATAGAAAAATTAGTCTAGCCAGGGAGGAAAATGTTCCAAGTAACTATAAAATATCAACACATTGACTTTTCATATTTTCTTTTAGTAGTATTATGCAACTTGGTTGAAAACTATACATTTTAATTAGAAATTTTTCTTCACATTGCTTGGATGGATATAACCACTGAATCTTTTCTTAGAATTATAATTCCTATCACAGAACTTACTCCTTACAAATATGCAATTCAGTAAATTTTAGTATATTCACAAGTTTGTGCAAACATTACCCAAAATGAAATACCATAACAATTAGCAGTCACTCCCTATATCCTAGAAACTACTAATCTTTCTGTCTCTGTGTATTTGTCTATTCTGGGCATTATTACATAAATGGAATCATTTAATTGTATTTAAAAGTCATCCATGTTATAAGACGCAGACCTTTTGTGCCTGGTTTATTTCACTAAGTATGATGTTTTTCAAGGTTTATCCATGTCTTAACATATAACAGTACTTTGATTTTGTATGGCTAGATAATATTCCATTGTTTTTATTTTTTATTTTTTTTAAATATTTTATTTATTTATTCATGAGAGACAGAGACAGAGAGAGAGAGGGGGGCAGAGACACAGGCAGAGGGAGAAGCAGGCTCCATGCAGGGAGCCCAATGTGGGACTCCATCCCAGGTCTTCAGGATCAGGCCTTGGGCTGAAGGCAGTGCTAAACTGCTGAGCCATCCAGACTGCCCTCCATTGCTTTTAGATACCAAATTTTGTATAACCATTCATTAATTGATGGACATTAGTTTGTTTACATTTTTTGGCTATTAGGAATAATGATGTGGAGCGCCTGGGTGGCTCAGTGGTTGAGCGTCTGCCTTTGGCTCAGGTCGTGATCCCAAGGTCCTGGGATCGAATCCCGCCTCGGGCTCCCCTCAGGGAGCCTGCTTCTCCCACTGCCTATGTCTCTGCCTCTCTCTCTGTGTCTCTCATGAATGAATAAATAAAATCTTTTTTAAAAAGGGAATGATGCTACAAATATTTCCGTACAAGATTTTGTGTGAACATATGTCTTCAGGTTTCTTGGGTATATATCTAGGAGTAGAAATGCTGAGTCATATACTAAATCTGTATTTAACTTTTTTTTTCTTTTTTTTTTTTCAAATTTTTATTTATGATAGTCACACACACACACACAGAGAGAGAGAGAGAGAGAGAGAGAGAGAGGCAGAGACACAGGCAGAGGGAGAAGCAGGCTCCATGCACCAGGAGCCCGACGTGCGATTCGATCCCGGGTCTCCAGGATCGTGCCCTGGGCCAAAGGCAGGTGCTGAACCACTGCACCACCCAGGGATCCCTGTATTTAACTTTTTGAGAATCTATCATATTGTATTCCAAAGCAGCTATACCATTTTATATTTACAGAAGTGATATAGAAAATTTCCAATTTCTCTACATCCTCACCAATACATTTTATTGCTTTTTGTTTTGATTATGTTCATTCTAGTGGGTGTGAAGTGATGTCTCATTGTGGTTTTGATTTGCATTTCCCTAATGACTAGTGATATTAAGCATCTTATGTACTTGTTGGCCATTTCTGTATCTTTGGAGAAATGTCTACTCAAGTTCTTTGTCCATTTTAAAATTAGATTGTTTAACTTCTTTTTGAATTATAAGTGTACGTTATGTATTCTGAATAAAAATATGATTTGCAAATTTTTTCTCCCATTCTGTGGGTTGTCTTTTCATGTGATAGTGTCCTTTAAAGCACAAGAGTTTTTATCTTTGACAAAGTCTAAAAATCTGTTTTCCTTTGGTTGTTTAGGCTTTTGGCATCGTGTCTAGGAAATTATTATCTAATCTCTGGCCACAAAGATTTACTCCTGGGTTTTCTTCTAAGAGTTTTATTTATTTATTTATTTTTCTTCTAAGAGTTTTATAGCTTTAGCTTTTATGTGGTTGATTTTCAGTTATTTTTTGCATATGATATGAGGTAAGGATCTAACTACTACTACTACTACTGCTGCTGCTACTACTGCTATTACTACTACTACTTCTCCTCCTCCTTTTTGGCATGTGGATATCCACTTGTCCCAGCACCATTTGTTGAAAAGACAGTTCTTTCCCCCACTGAATTTTCTTGGTACCCTTGTCAAAAATGAGCAGACCATAAATGCAAAGGCATATGTATGTATGGATTCTCAATTTTATTCCATTGATTTATATGTCTATTCTTATAGCAATACCATGATGCCTTGATTACTGAAGCTTTACAGTAAGTTCTTAAATTGAGAATCTTTTCCAAGATTGTATTGGCTATTCTGTGTCCCTTGAATTTATATACAAATTTTATGATCAGTTTGTCAGTATTTCAAAACAGCTCAGATTTTTGTAAGAATTATATTGAATTTACAGATCAATTTGGAAAAATATTGCCCTCTTAACAATATTTAAATCTTCTGATCCATTAACATGGAAGTCCAAAGCAGGATACAGACTATAGTATAGCTGTTAAGTGCTGTACTGTACCTCCCCCTGATCAAAACAAAGTTGTTTCCTAACTATACCAGTCTGCTAGACTACTGTAGCAGTTAGGGAAACTTGATCTCATGCACGTTAATAAAATTAAATTTAAAAAGAAACATGGGATGTTCCTTCATTTAGGTATTATTTATTATTTTTCAACAATACTTTGTAATTTTCGAGGCATAACTTTTACATATCATATGTTAAGTTTATTCCTAAATACATATTTTTGGGTGCTACATTACATGGAATTGTTTTCTCAATTTTCTTTATGTATTGTTCATTGCTTTTTTTTTTGCATATTAATCTTGTATGTTGCAACCTTTCTGAGTTTTAGTTCTAAGAGTTCCCTAGTAGATTCCTTAGGATTTTGTTACAAACAAGATTATTCCATCTTCAAATAGAGGTAGTTTAATTTCTTTCTTTCCAATTTGTATGACTTTTATTTCTTTTTCTTGTCTAATTGCCCTAGCAAGAGTTCCAGTATAATGTTGAATAGAAGGAATGGGAGTGTGCATTCTTCTCTTATTCCTGATCTTAGAGGAAAAGCATTCATTCTTTCACCAATAAGTACAAAGTAGGGTGGTGGTGGTTGTTGTTTTCATAGATGCCCTATATCAGATTAAGGAAATATCTTTCTGACTGGTGTGAGGTGATATCTCATTGTAGTTTTCTTTTTAAAGATTTTATTTATTTATTCATAGACACACACACACACACAGAGAGGCAGAGACACAGGCAGAGGGAGAAGCAGGTTCCATGCAGGGAGCCCCATGTGGGACTTGATCCAGGGTCTCCAGGATCACACCCCAGGCTGCAGGCGGGGCCAAACTGCTGCGCCACCGGGGCTGCCCTCATTGTAGTTTTGATTTGTATTTCCCTGATGTTGAGTGATGTTGAGTATCTTTTATGTGTCCATTAGCCATTTATGTGTCTTCTTTGGAAAAATGTATATTCATGTCTTCTGCCCATTTTTATATTGAATTATTTTGGGGGGAAGTTTTATAAGTTTTTTATTTATTGTAGATACTGAACCTTTATCAGATATATCATTTGCCAATATTCTCTCCCATTCTGAAGCTGCCTTTTAGTTTTGTTGATTGTTTCCTTCAGAAACAATCAGAAGATTGTGTGCAGAAGATTTTTATCTTGATGAAGCCCCAAGTTTATTTTTGCATTTGTTCCCTTTGATTCAGGAGACCTATCTGAGTAAGGTGTTGCTACGATTGATGTCAAAGAGGTTACTGTTTGTGTACTCTAGGGTTTTGATGAATTCTCTCACATTTAGGCATTTCATTCACTTTTCATTTATTTTTGTGTATGGTGTAAGAAAGTGGTCCAGTTCCATTCTTTGTGTGTTGCTGTCCAGTTTTCCCAATACCATTTATTGAAGAGACTGTCTTTTTATCATTGGATATTTTTTTCTGCCTTGTTAAAGATTAGTTGACTATATAGTTGAGGGTCCATTTCTGGGTTTTCTGTTCTGGTCCGTTGATCTATGTGTCTGTTTTTGTGCCAGCACCATACTGTCTTGATCACTACAGCTTTGTGATATAATTTGATGTCTGGAGTTGTTATGCCTCCAGATTTGATTTTCTTTTTCAACATCACTTTGGTTATTTGGGGTCTTTTGTGGTGCCATACAAATTTTAGGATTGTTTTTTCTAGTTCTGTGAAAAAGCTGATGATATTTTGATAGGGATTGCATTAAATATTTAGATTGCTTTGGGTGGTATAGACATTTTAACAATATTTGTTCTTCCGTCTGTCAGAAAAGCTGAAATTGATGCAGTAAACAACAGATGTTGGTGAGGATGTGGAGAAAAGGGAACCCTCTTATACTGTTGGTGAGAATGCAAACTGGTGCAGCCACTCTGGAAAATAGTATAGAAGGTTCCTCAATAAGTTAAAAATAAAACTACCCTATGATCCAGCAATTGCATTACTAGTTATTTACCCAAAGGATACAAAAATACTGATTTGAAGGGATACATGCTCCCCAATGTTTAAAGCAGCGTTATCACCAATAGCCATATTATTGAAAGAGCCCAAATGTCAATCGACTGATGAATGGATAAAGAAGATGTGGCGTGTGTGTGTGTGTGTGTGTGTGTGTGCGCGCACACACACACACAATGGGATATTACTTAGCCATAAAAAGAAATCTTGCCATTTTCAACAGTGTGGGTGGAGCTAAGAGAGTATTACGCTTAGTGAAATAAGCCAGTCATAGAAACAGAATTACCGGTAGACCGTGTTGGGTTGCCGCCGCTGCGGCTGCTGTCATCGTGCTAGCCCCTCGGGTCTCAACGAGGCCGGGTGATGCTCCAGAATGGGAGACAAGCCAGTTTGGGAGCAGATTGGATCCAGCTTCATTCAGCATTACTACCAGTTATTTGATAACGACAGAACCCAACTAGACACAATTTATATTGATGCATCATGCCTTACGTGGGAAGGACAGCAGTTCCAGGGGAAAGCTGCCATTGCGGAAAAGTTGTCTAGCCTTCCGTTCCAGAAAATCCAGCACAGCATCACGGCACAGGACCATCAGCCCAAGCCAGATAGCTGCATCATCAGCATGGTAGTGGGCCAGCTCAAGGCTGATGAAGACCCCATCATGCGGTTCCACCAGATGTTCCTATTAAAGAACATCAGTGATGCTTGGGTTTGCACCAATGACATGTTCAGGCTTGCCCTGCACAACTTCGGCTGACTTCTTCCCAGCCAGGCACTCATGCTGTTTCCTCCTCCCTCCTCTTCCTGATAACTATTTACACTCCTCCAGATGCTCCAAATATCAAACACAAATGAGCAGGGCCATGGTGGGAGCGGGTGCAGTGCGCTGCTACTACCAAGGTATTGTGCATGATGTTTGGATGCTAGAATAGTTGTATCTGACAGAAGTTTGTGTTGTACCAGCGCATGCCTTGGAAAGACTTAAGTAATGCAAAAGGATGTCTTTTTTTTTTTTAATCTACAGACAGTTTGCTCTAGTAACCCAGAGAAGTGAAGGAGAAAGCAGCTGCCTCACCGCCCAGATATTGACCTCCCAGATATTGATTTGTTTGGATGTTTCAATGGCTCATGATATAATAAACCCACAAAAATTTTCTTAACAACAACAAAAAAAGAAACAATTACCATATGATTTCACTCATATATGGAACTTAAGAAACAAAACACATGAGCATGTGATGGGGAAGAGAGAAGCAGACCAAAAAACAGACTCTTAATCCTAGAGAACAAATCGAGGGTTGCTGGAGGAGAGGTGGGCAGAGGGTTGGGTTAAAAGGGTAGTGAGTATCAAGAAGGGAACTTGTAATGGGTACTGGGTAGTGTGTGTTAAGTGATGAATCACTGAATTATACACCTGAAACTAATATTACATGCATGTTAACTAACTGAAACTTAAATAAAAACTTGAAAAAAAGGAATTATCTTTCTATTCCTAGTTTGTTTACTGTGTTTATCAAGAAGTGGTATTGGAATTTACAAAATGCTTTTTCTGCATCTATTGAGATGATCAGGTGGTTTTCATACTTTATTCTACTGACAATTGATACATTACATTAATTGACCTTGGGATGTTAAGCCAGTGCAAGGTTTTGCATTCTTGGAATAAATCCCAGTTGGTCATGATGCGTAATTCTTTGTATGTGTTGCTGGACTTAGTGTACTATATTTTACTGAAGATATTTGTGTATTCATAAAGGTTTTTTTTCCTTGTTATCTTCCTCTTTTTAGTATCAGGATAATACTAGCATGATAGAATGAGTTAGGAAGTATTCCCTCTCCTCTTCTGTGTTTTCAAAGAGTTTGTGAAAGATTATTATTATTTTTTAAATGTTTAGTATAATTCACCAGCGCATTCATTGGCTTTTGTCTGTGGAAAATATTTTGATTACTAATTCATCCCTTGTTACAAGTCTATTGAGAAATTTTATTTCTTCTTGAGTCAGTTTTGATAGTTTGTGTTTAAATGAATTTGTTTTATCTACATTATCTAATTTGTTGGCATACAATTATCCATAGCATTCCCTTATAATTCCTTTTTTGTTGTTGTTGTAAAGTCAGTAGTAATGTCCCTTCTTTAGTTCCTGACTTGAGTAACTTAGGTGCCATATTTTCTTTTTGGTCATTTTTGGTAAATATTTAATTTTATTGATCTTTTCTCAAAGGACCAACTTCTGATTTTGTTGACGATTATTTTATTCTCTTTTTTATTTCCACAGTAATCATTTTTTCCATCTGCTTTTATTTAGTATAGTTTATTCTCTTCTAATTTTTTAAGGTGGAATGTTAGGTTATTGGTTTGAAGTCTTTCCCCCCACCCCTTTTTAATATTGGCATTTACAGGCATGGTGCATAATTTTGTGTATCAGTTTAAGCTAAAAGACTCCCAGATATCTGTGAAAACATTTTTTTTCTGGACATTTCTGGCAAGGTGTCTCCAGAAGATTAATGTTTGAATCAGTAAACTGCATAAAAAATAGTGCCTTCACCAACATGGACAGGCATCATCCAATCTTTTGAGCGTGTGAATAAAACAAAAAGATGGAGTAAGGGCAAATCTGCTTTCTCTACTTGAGTTGAGTTATCCATCTTCTACATTTGTACATTAGCTGGTGTGGATCTTAGGCCTTCAGACTCAGACCAAATTCTACCACCAGCTTTTCTGGTTCTTCCTCTTGCAGATGGCAGTTTTGGGGACTTTTCAGCCTCCCTAATCCTGTGAACCAACTCCTGTAATAAATATCCTCTTATTTATATCTTACTGGTTTTGTTTCTCTGGAGAACCCTGACTAATATAACAGATAAAAATTTTCCTCAAGCACTGTTTTAGTTGTATTCCTTAAGTTTTGGTTTGTTGTGTCTTCTGTGTTTTTATAAACTTTATGTGTTCTGTGTATCGTACCGTATGTATAACATTTCTAAATTCCTTTGTGATTTCTTGTTTGACTGTTTTTTAAATGTATGTGTTGCTTAATTTCTAAATATTTTTGAATTTCCAAATATTCTTCTATTACTGGAGAAATACCTTCTATTAAACCCTTTTAAACTTATTGAGACTTCTTTTATAATGTAA